GGGGAGGAGGGAGAGCAGGGAAGGGAGGGGGGAGGGGAGGAGGGAGAGCAGGGAAGGGAGAGGGAGGAGGGGAGGAGGGGGAGGAGGGGGAGGAGGGGGAGGAGGGAGAGCAGGGAAGGGAGGGGGAGGAGGGGGAGGAGGGGAGACAGGACGAGACAAGAGGAGGCAGCAGAGGAGGAGGGACAACCCTGAGGAAACCTGAAGGGTGTGGGAGCGAGGATGGAGGATCCTGGGAGGCGCACTGGAGAGGACAGTTCACAGTAAAGTCTTCTACTCCCAGGTGGAAATTTAAGATGTGGAAACTCAAACACAGTTGTAGAATGTCCTTTGTTCATGCTAATCATCTGCTTTGTAACTTATCCAGAATGTTTAGCTGGCTTTCACTTCTATTGCCTACACTCTGGATATTGAAGACACCAGCCAAAGAATCAAGTCATGTTTCCTGAATGTTGGTAGAGTCGAGGAAAATGCAGAAAAAAGAAACATTTAAAAATTTTTACTTAACTCGTTACTATGTTTTTTAATGTCTTTAGCCATTAATAATTAATAATTATTTAGCTATATTTAGAAAATGCATATTTAAAAATAAAAAAAAAAGTGTGCCAGAGCTTGCCTGGTAGATTTCATATTCCAGATCAGATCTATTCATTTTTATTAGATAATTAACTTGCCACTGATCAGTCTGTGGAAAAATTTCACTACAAAAATTTTGCAAAACAAAGTTGTGTGATCATGTTTGCCAAGGAACATATGATAAGCACAGACAGCCATGACAGAAAATGCATGTACCAGTCCTATTTTTTCATTTTCACGGTAATCTGCACGGAGCTCTAGTCCTCTATCTGGCCAGCAGGTTCGGGCATTGATGTTTGACTACCACTACCTTAGTGGAGAGCAGTGCTGTCTAATATGGTAACCATGTGGCTATTTAAATTAAAATTAATTAAAATTAAAAATTTAGCTCCTTAGTCTCACTAGGGACATTTCAAGTGCTTAATGGCCACATATGGCTAGTTGTAATTATTAGACAGTGCAGATGTAGAACATTTTCACCATTGCAGGAAGTTGTATTAGTGCTCTGATTTTTAGCAATACCATAAGGAATAGACCAAACTGCACAGATTATGGCATTTGGTCTGCCTTGTTGTTTTGGCATGTGGAACAAATAACCATTTTCGTGGGCCCTAAACTAGGGTGGCAGTTCAGGATGTGGGTTGAAAAATCTCAATGTACAAAGACATTTACCCACGTCTAACTCTTCTATTTTCTGACTTTATCTGGTCATTTGTAAATTGCTACCATAGACTGCCTTTGTTATTTCAAGACTATATGGTGACTTCTAATGTAGTGATGATGGGGTCGCTAATCTAGGACAGGTAGACAGGGAATTTGGGGTCATGGGCAGCAAGGATCAGCGACTCCACAGAGTAGCTGAGTCTCAGATGCTGCGTCAGCCTTCATCATGCTTCGGGACAGTGGATCCTAAGGATTTCAGCGTCACAGGAAATTCTGATAAAAGACATACCACTTCTTACTACTTAATTACACAAGCCATTTCAGGCACTCACAACCCTCTTGAAGTCCCAGTGGTGTCACAGGGAGGATGGAGAGGGGACCAGTATTTTCCTGGGAAACAGAGTTACTCGGGAGCCTTCACCAGGGGGTGAACTGTGACACTGAGACCTGTGCTCTGTCCACACACAGGAAGGAAGTACAGTGCAGGGTCAGGCATTAATTTGTTTTTGTTTCCTGGGGCATGGGGGGGGGTGGTAATAGCCCTGCTTCCTTCAACATTCAAGGCCCCTTCCTCAGGTATGGTGTCCTAAAGAAGCCCTCTACCCCCTACCAAGTACCAGGTTGTCCCCACAGCACATGCACCAAGGAATAAATATGAATATATTGAGAGACTGTTTACAGGCCTATCCTTAATGATTTTAACATCTTAATTTCAATATTAGAGTAGTACAAATGATGTGGTTGGTGGAAGCCTACAGGTTAAAGGATAAGATGTTTCTTTAAATGTATGCTATTATTTTACCACTGGCAGCAAATAAATTGCTTCCTTTTTATTTGGGCTTTTTAGCTTGCTGAATCAGGACTATCGTCAATAGTAACTTAAAAGAATTAATAAAGCTATAAGAAAGAAAAGTAGTTTATATCCTTTCTGACTGTTGGATTATCAAAGATAAAGCAAAATGATTCATCCTACATTTTCATTATTTTTAAGATGAATTTTTCCGAGTCTCTTGACATTTCTAAAAGTTACTCATAAGATTATTTGAGCAGGTCAAACTAAATTTTTAAATTTTGTTATTGATCTAATTTTTATGGGCTGTAATTGCTTAAAACACCAAAATCTACTGTTTTTTTTTTTTTTAAGAATTATAGCATATTCTTTTACTCCAAAGGAATGGGTCTTTTTTAAGAACTTCCACTGTGTTGCCCAGGGGAGCCAGTATATAGACAAATAAACACAAAATCCATGTACCTAATCAAATATAAACAAACCCAAAAACAACAGTAAGATTTTGGGAATATGTACGTACACTAAGATTAAAATATCTGAATCACTTATACTTACTGTAAGTTTTTCCTCATTATATGCACATTGTCACATAACAAATTCACATTTTAATAGAAATGATTAAAAGCAAGATAGTGATGTCCCTCATGCTCTTAAAAAAATTATGACAAAATTTAGTAACAGGGACACCTTCAGATTTCTATTACCAAATAGTTTGTAGTAATTCTATGTTCAGGAACTGAATAACTTATGGCTGCTCCAGATTTAGAAATGTTTGATAATTCTATGAAAACATTTAAAGACATACTAGAAATAATGTAAACAATTCTTTTAGTTGCTCCATAAAGAAAGGAAAAGGTTAATTTTGATGAATTTAAGTATTTACTTTGATGAATTCTTTACTTTGGTCATTTTAATTTTTAATGTAAATTTATACAAAGTACAAACAATTCCTACCTTCACCTTCAGACACTACTGTGGGACTTTTTAGTTAAATGGGTCAATTGCTTTAGTGAGGTGGTATTTGGCAAACATCTCTTACGTTCCTCACCCTGATGTGATACACACATGTTCCACTCTGTCTTCAGGCGGAGAAGCCCTTTTAGCTGATAAATATCACCCAAAGCAAGGTCCTTGATAACAAAAAATAATTAAATAGCAGAAGCTGGTGAGAGATCAGCATTTGTTTTTCACCAATTTAAATGTAAAAGCCTTTTCCCCTTAAGAGATTGGCAAGTTTTTACAAATAACATCAGTAAGCCTTTTAGAAAGAAACACGGCCACATTAGAATGGAGTCATTAGGCAATACATTTATCTTGAAGCCAATTAACCTTTTGTCAGAAAAATGTCGGTGCCGTCATGGTTTCAGCGTGGAGGTCAGCCTCTAACCGGGCACGTATGACGGCCACCGCGGCGGACACGTGCCGCAAACAGAGAGAGAGAGTGCAGCGACCAGAAGCAACCTTCCTTTGTATTCCACTCTGCATTTCCAGGGAGCAGACAATCTTGACCTATCCATTTAGGTAATTAAAGCTTCCATTTGGAAGTGTCCTGCAGGAAGGTGAAATTTGGGGGAGATAAATGGCTTTTGCTCTCTGTATTCAGCCACCAGTTCCATCACTTGATGGACTGCCTGAAACAGGCTCCACTGCCAGGTTCTCATAAAAATAGAGATGAATTGGGCAGCAGACAATTCTCTGAGGCAAAGCAACTCTGTCATTTTCTTTTTTGCAGGCTATAATTTAATTGTTAGTCAAGGTGGACAGCTGACACAGAGGGGCTTTCTCTAAGAGCTTACCCACCATCTTCCGTTCACTGAGAAATCACTCCAGTTTATTTACTTAGCCAAGTTTGTTTGGCATTGGGAGATGTCACTCCAGCGGCCCAGCTGGTCACCCAGCTGTGCCCTGACTTACCTTCCATGCTATTTTGTTTCCTTTTGAGTCATGCTCAAGGGCAATTGGGAAGTCTCCTCGTTCATAAAATTTCCGAAATGCTGTGGGCTTGGTTGGTCTTTCTTTAAATGCTCCTGCAGCTGGAGGGCCTCTCACCTTTAAAGAAAAAAAAAATAGGAATCAGGTTTTGAAAAATAGCAAAAAATGCACAGTAAAAAGACTTTTCTTAAGTTTTAGTTTATATAAAATATTCTGGAAGATAAAAACCAAACTGTCTAATGATGGACAACAGCAACTTCACTAATACAACAGTTAAAGAAGAAAATTATGGGGCGCCTGCGTGGCTCAGTAGTTAAGCATCTGCCTTCGGCTCAGGTCATGATCTCAGGGTCCTGGGATCGAGCCCCACATCGGGCTCCCTGCTCAGCGGGAAGCCTGCTTCTTCCTCTCCCCGCCCCCCCGCTTGTGTTCCCTCTCTCTCTGTGTCTTTCTGTGAAATAAAATAAAATATTTAAAAAATAAATAAATTAAAGAAGAAAATTATTTTATAATCATTAAGGGTTTACTTTATTTCAAGCTACTTTAGAAAGCATTCCTACAAAAAGTCATTTAAAAAATATCACATTATAAGGAAAAAAAGTCTATACTTTTGTTTAAGTAAAAATTTTAATAGAGGCCCTTTAAATTCAGAATGTTAAAACTTTTAACATTTTTAATAATTGCTAATTCTAATCTCAGGTCTGATATACTTTGTGGAATACCGAAGTAATACATTTAAAATACAACCTTTAGGGGCACCCGGGTGGTACAATCAGTTAAGCATCTCAGGTCGTGATGTCAGGGTTATGAGATCGAGCCCCATGTCAGGTTCGGCTCAGCAGAGTCTGCTAGGGGTTCTCTCTCTCCCTCTGCCCCTCTCCCTACTCACTCTCTCTAAAGTAAATTTAAAAAAATACAGTATGTCCTTTAAATCTTTCTATATACATAAAATGTAAAACATGTTCTCATGTTGTGAATATTAACAACTATAAAAATGTTATATAAAATTATAACAAATAAGAGAATTTAAAAAGAAAGTGTGCATATATAGCATACATTTGATATTATGAATTTATGAGAAAGTAACATTAGATTACATGAGAATCTTTCAACCCCCAAATTGAAATTTTCTCAAAGAAGAAACATTTCATGTTTTAAAAGATTTTATTTATTTATTTCAGAGAGAGAGAGAGAGAGAAAGAAAGAGAGAGAGCACAAGCAGAGGAGATAGCCTGCCTGACACGGGGCTCAATCCCAGGACCCTGGGATCACGACCTGAGCCAAAGGCAGATACTAAACCCAGGCACCCCAAAGAAAAAGCATTTTATATTGAGTTATTCATATGAAGAATATCTTTTAAATCTGCATTATTTACATATGAATTAATACATTAGGTTACAAAATTGAAAGTGATTAGTGAACTATTTAGAACATTACAGACCACTGATTATCTTTCTTTGAAAAAAAAAGTAAATACTAGATGTTTACTAGTTTAATAAAAAACAGATTATCTTGTTAATTCTTAATATGGACCAAATAGCAAATAATTTATGTAATATCTTAGTATTTTAAGTTACTTGATATCATGTTAATTTTTAACATTCATGTAAAAAACTTGAATTTTAATAAAGAAATATGTAAAAATACATCTACTATAACAAATATGACAAATAACATTTTATCTGATGCACACAGAAAGGCTAATACTAAGAACTGAGTCGGATATTAAAATATTAAGATGATTAAATGCTGAACTAGAGTTGAAGAGTGAGGTAATGCAAAGGTATTTATTAGAGTTTATTTTTTAATTTTTTACTTTTTTAGAGAGTGCATGTGCGTGCCCACACATACATGCAAGGCTGTCAGAAGAGGGAGAGAGAGAATCTCAAGCAGATTTCCCACTGAGCAAGGAGTCCATGTGCTGCTCCATCTCAGGAACCTGAGATCATGACCTGAGGTGAAATCAGAAGTTGGATGCTTAACTGACTGGGCCACAGAGGTACCCCCAGAGTTTAGAATTTCCTTCACTACATAGAACATTATTCCCAGCATACAATTATGTAAGTAATTGATGTGACACGGGGCAGTGGGGAAGCAAAATTGCCTCTTACTTATAAAATATTTGAAATTTGGGGTGCCTGGGTGGCTCAGTGGGTTAAGTGTCTGCCTTCGGCTCAGGTCATGATCCCAGAGTCCTGGGATCAAGTCCCATGTTGGGCTCCCTGCTCAGTGGGGAATGTGCTTCTCCCTCTGCCCTTCACCCTGCTGGTGTGCTATCTCACTTGCTCTCTCCCAAATAAATAAAATCTTTAAAAAAATATTTGAAATTTGTTCTGGTATTAGAGTTATTAGCCACCATTTTTAGATAAACTCATTCAATTGTTAAGTAACCATATGTGTATGACAACTACTTTGTGCAGAGCTCTGAGCTGGATGTTATACAGACATTCTACTAATGTACTAATCTACATTAGTACAACAGAAACTATAGAGATGGCACTCCAGGACTTTAGCAATTTATGGAGTGGTAAATATTGAATCTCATTTTTGGAAATTGATAAAGAATTGACAACTTTTTATTTTACCAACAAGTTATAGACAAAAAAAAAAAAAGATCACCATCTACCATCATGTCACCATTTTAACACCCCCCAAAAAGTGGTATACATAATCCAAAGAAAGAAAACTTAGCCAAATTAAACCAGCATCATGCATATTTATAGAAAGTTACAGAAAATAGTGCATATGTATGTACATGTATGTGTATTGTATTATTGTACAGTACTGATTGCTGGTCAGCAGATACCTCATTTTTTGTTTTTTTAAAATAAATATTAAATACATAAAGAAAATACATATGTATAAATATATGTATAGATATGTATATACATACATACACATATAATGAAATTTTCAGCCATAAAACAAGAAGGAAATCTTGCCTTTTGTGACAACATGGATGAAGCTTGAGGGCATGCTAAGTGAGTAAGACAGTAAGTCAGACAAAAAGACAAATATTGTGTTATCTCACTTATATGAGAAATCTAAAAGAATCGGACTCATAAAAACAGAGAATAGATTGGTGGTTGCCAGGGTCTAGAAGGTTAACGGTGACATCTACTGATTGTCTTTTTTCATTCGCTTTTTGATCTTCCTGATTCTTGGCGTGACGACTGATTTTCTATTGAAATCTGGACATTGGTGATTGTGAGACTCTGGAACTTAAACCTTCCATTTTAGCTGGTTTATTCCAACATATCTCTGGCAGAGATGTGGGGAAGGGTTACTAGCTCATTACTGTCAGGTTGGGGTGGAAATCCTGGAAGCCCACCTGGCCGCTGTTGACTCCATAGAGGGCAGTTCTCATTGATACTGGGTGAAGGTGGGGGCTCCAGCACCACTGGGCCTCCAGTGACACCTCCTGGACAGGGAGGAGTGGGAGTGCCCCATGACTTGCTGCCCACACTGACACCACAGAAGGGGGTGGCCCCATTACTGCTGGGCAGTGAAGAATGACATTCCTGTCCCACTAGGAGGCATTCTCTGACAGCACCCCAGCAGAAAGGGGTAAGCGCTCATTAGTGCTGGCTATGGTGAGAGTCCAAGCTACCCGCACTGTGGGTGCTGAGGACCTCTTTACTGTTCCAGTAGGGATGAAAGGCTCAATTCCTCACTGAAAACATTCAGCTACAACCATCATGTAGATCTTTTGTCTGCTTATCATCTGCCAACCATCCTTCCCATTTTTCTAGATGCCAAGTTATCATTTATGCTGTTGATAGCAAGCCTCCCATTTGCTTAATTGACCAAAATTTTGCTAGAGTATCCATCTTTGTCCCTTTTCTTTGTATTTATCTTAAAATCAATTTCTCTTTTTCCTTTTTTTTTTTTTTTAAAGATTTTATTTATTTGACAGAGGAAGACAGCCAGAGAGGGAACACAAGCAGGGGGAGTGGGAGAGGGAGAAGCAGGCTTCCCGAGGAGCAGGGAGCCCGATGTGGGGCTCGATCCCAGGACCCTGGGATCATGACCTGAGCCGAAGGCAGATGCTTAACAACTGGGCCACCCAGGTGCCCCTCTCTTTTTCCTTTTGTCTCTTATTTGAAACATACTCCATTCTTTCTGATTCTGAATTCAAAATTCTAATCGTCTTTTCAAAGAATGAACATATTTCTCTCTAAGAAGCCTAGGGGGCTTTTTATAAACTATTGATAGATAATGTATACTTACTCTTTCTTCCCATAAGTCTTCATGGACTCCCTACAGAAATGATTCCATGCCTACAATTCCATGCCAAGTCTTCACTTAGTTTGCTATGTAATCCCTCAACAGTGTGGAAATTCTTTCTTCAGTGTCTGTTATCCTCTGTATTTATATTTCTGCCATTTACTCATTTTAAAACACTATTTTTTTGGATTCTTCTATAGACCCATTCCAAATTAACTCCTGGCATCTCAAAGTTGTAATTTGAAAGCTGACTAGTTAAACCTGTTAGTGCCACATGGATATTACTTAATTGTATGCAGATGCTCTGTCACTGTCCCTGGATAATATTTTTTCTGTTCCCAATACATATATGCCTACTTAACCTAATAGAAGGCTAAAATATTTTTTATATTCTACACATAATCCATTCCAACATTCCAAGTAATTCTAAAAATCTCTACATGAAAAATCAAGTAAAAATCTTTGGAAAGGTAATAAAGATATTACTACTGGAAATCACACAGATGGATGTAGGTTGACTAAATAAAATTAAAAATAAGCAAAAATACTGTTAATAATCCTTATGTACATCACATATTTATCAAAGGACTACTGTACATTTTATTAAATGTCTTAAGAGGACTACTGAAAATTTTATTTAATGTCTTAAGAATTTTACCCCAATTCATTATAAATAATATAGAACAAATAAGGAACCATAAATCAAAATAGATTTGTGGGAAAATGCAATTAGGATTTGCCTGAATGGTAGGGGCTGTCCATAAACCAATTAGGAAGAATGGGTGTTGCAGCAGAATGCTTTTAATAAAATCTAATGCACTTGGGAACCAAGATACTGAATGCACTTTGAAGTGACTATAAATGACACAGTACTTTATATGCCTACACTT